CCGCTCTTTTGCTCCCATCTCAACCAACACATCGAGACGTGCGCCGGGGCCTGCATCGCGTCCACGCGCGATAGCCTCAACTCTCTCATCCCTCACATATCCATACCCATACTCATATTCCCACACCGTTCTTCCGCCATCTCCGTATTTTTTGATCATCTGTCTTGTTGTCCGTGTCACAAACGACATCTCCGTCCCCATCGTCATCTCCATCGCCAGCCTCTTGACATCCATCCCGGGAACGGGCTCACCGTCCCAAGCAAGCAACGTCCACCACCCGGCTGGCTTCCGCCGCCGTCGTCCACTTTGACAACGGTCCCAGCCTGTTTGTCACTCATCATCCACCTTTAAACGGGCTCTGAGCCAACAGCCAACGTCTCGGGATCCTGCCGTCACACTAAGACAGAGATCTCCTGCTCAACTGCGTTAAGAGCGGTGGAGCGATTTGCGACGCCCGTCCCCTTCCTGGGCTCTTCCGTTCCGTGGCCCCCTGTCACCCAAGTCGGTACTCGCTTCCGTTTGAACTTTGACGGTGGAGTTGTTTTAGGGGCCTCCTTTCCTTCACCGCATCGTCGACAGCGACGAACCCTGCCTTTGCACGGCGCGCCCAGAACTAACAACTGCCCCGAGGATCCCCTCAAGTGGCTCCCCAGACAGCGCGTGAAGAGACTTTTGGCGGTGGACAGGCTCCCTCTTAGACGTGTTGGACCAACCTCCCGCCCTGGGTTCCCTGTCGTCACTTAAAGGACCGGAAGCTTCAAAAATCGACTAGTAGCACCACCACATAAGCTCCAAAACCGCGCGCGCATTCACACACACACACACACACCAGGTCACCGCCTGTGTGAGTGCACTCACACCTTTTGCTCCCTTCGACATATCACACACACACATCTTCTCTCAAGTCTGACACCAGACGAGTGACTGACACTCAAACACCATGGCCCTCACTCAGACGGTCACCATCATCAACAACTCGGGAAAGATTATAAGTACCGTACGTCTCTCTCGCTGGCTCACACCCGTTGCATTTCCCCCCACCGCCCCTCTGAAATTCCAAGTCCAGCCCTCGCCAGGCCGCGTGTTTTGCAACATTCGACCTGCAAGATGCACGCGCACTACAACTCCAAGATGACCGTTGAGGCCCAAAGCTGACGTATCATCTTTTTCTTCTGCTGCAGGGCAAACAACTCGCTGGCATCTTTAAAGAAGCCAAAGCCTCCTACCAGGAGAAGAAGGCCTCTATCAAGGCCGACCGCGAGCTCAGGCGCGCCCAAACCTTCGACACATCCCGCGATCTCCCTCCCGAGGCTTTTGAGCGCCGTTATTCCTATGACGATGGCCACTCTGTCGCCAGCTCCCGCAGGAGTCACCGCTCCCGGCGGTCTCACTATCCCGAGCAGGACTATTATCCTCCGTCAAGACCGGCCTTGACCGAAAACAACCTCAAGGCTCACTCTGAAGTGTCCAGCGTCACTCCCTCGAGAGCACCCTCGGCTGCATACCGCTCTCCCTATGCAGAGACCGCACCCCGTGATATGCAGATGAGCCGCCCGGCCATGCAACACTACACAGTCGCTCCGGCATGCAGCGACAGTCTCGCCGATTCTGCGACCATTCGCGGCGCCAATGTTCCCCGCACAATGTCGGCGCCGGCCGTACCCACTATCGGAAAGAAGAAGAAGGAAATCGACATGGACCTCGCTTACGGCAACATCCCTCCGGATCTGCAGGACCGAACCGATCTGGACCCCAAGGAGGACAAGGCGAAGGATCTGATAGCCCGGGTCGAGGGGCTTCTCGACGAAGCACATTGCGTGCAGCACACCGCCGCGGCCACCATCGCCCACCTTCAAGGGAACCCCGAAGCCGCTGCCGCCGTGGCCCTGACGCTTGCCGAACTTTCGACTCTGCTGAAGAGCATGTCCCCAGCCTTTCTGACCGCCATCAAGGGAGGGTCTCCGGCCGTATTCGCACTCCTCGCCTCGCCCCAGTTCCTCATCGCGGCCGGCGCCGCCGTTGGCATGACTGTGGTCATGTTTGGCGGATGGAAGATCGTGAAGCAGATCAAGGATGCCAAGGCCCAACAAGCGGCCGCCATGAACAACGCCATCGCCATGGAGGCACAGCCGGCGCCTGCAGTGCAGCCGCCCGTCGAGTACACGTACGACCCGTACGATCAGTTCGATCCGTATGGACAGCAACCTCGCGAGGGTAGCGTTACGTACGACGAGGCCGTGGTCCTGGATGAGCGCTTGGAAGAGGAACTCAGCTCCATCGAGACTTGGCGCCGCGGCATCGCGCCCATGGGCGAGGATGAGAGCGTTGACATGGAGCTCATCAGCCCCGAGGCCGCCCGCTCCATCCGCGGCGACCCGGATACCCGCACGGAGCGCAGCTTCCGCACGACGCGCAGCTCCAAGACGCACCGCAGCTCCAGGACCGAGAGGACGCACCACTCTTCCAAGTCACACCGCAGCAGCGCTAGCGTGCGTGAACCGGACGTCCCGGAGCGCAAGAGCAGTGTCGCGAGATCTGAGCGAGGCGCCGACACGGAGAGCATCGCCAGCAGCCACCGAAGCCACCGCAGCTCGGCCTCCAAGAGGACGGGTCGGGTGTCGATGCTGACGATTGAGGAGGGCAAGAGCGAGAAGGATGCTGAGGTGATCGACATTGCGACTCGACCCAAGAAGAACAACATGCTCAAGTCATTGTTCAAGAAGAAGGAGAGAGAGCACAGGGACAGGGACGAAAGGGTCTCCGCCCTCGTGTTCTAAAACGCGACCATGAAAGATGAAGGATGACAGACGACAACGACAAGAACGATTGAAGATGAAGACGAAGACGAAGACGAAGATCAAGACAGGAAATCATGCATTTGGCTTGGGCGGCTTCCCAGCCTGGACGGAGTTGGGTTTGTAACGGATACGCACTGACGAAGGGTTCGATTGGAATTCGCCCTCGTGTTTTCATTTTTCCTTGCTTTCTTTGTGCATAATCATTGGGACTGTTATCATTATTGGAAGGAACAAACATACCTACAAACACTGTTACATGATCTGAGCGATCAGATCTCGACTTCGCGTCGGTAGATATTCTCGCAGAATACATGAGATTTCTCGTTCTTATGCCAACAACGTCATTTTTTTCACTTTGAAGTGACCAGCACGATATTCTTAACTGGTTAGAGACCGAGATCAAGTGGGTTTATGAGGCTGAAGCAGCTGTTAAAACCGTCACTTTGCATCGGAGTGGCAGTGCTTTAAGACTGGGCAAGACATCGCCGGTCTAGAGAGACGGCGGCGTAGGGCTGAATCGGAGATGTGGACGGTTCGGGAGGAATAGCATCAGACCATCTCACCCAAGTCCGGTTTTGGTCTGGCTGCGTACACCCTCATCGCCGTCTGAGCTTGAGAAAAGAGAATGCGACAGGAGATGCTCGTCTCATCCCAAGTGACGAAGGGGGCACAAGAAGTGCGAAATGCATGTCAGCTCCTCCCGCGGTCGTCCGCCTTCGTAAATGGTCTTCCCCCGCCGCCGACGGCCAATACCAAGATGCCCCGGCCCTCGGCGGTGCAGCCACACCACGCGGGTCACATCTCACCGGGTCCCGTAGCCTGCCCTATCTGCTCCTCCCAGGGCTCTTCTGAGTCAATTTGGCTCGACTGTTTTCTTCTTTGCGGCTGGCTACATCGCCTCCGCATTACCAGCGTCCCAGGAACCACGAAGTCGGGATCAGCTCAGACGTAGTCTCAACCAACCTTGGTTCATCCACGCGTTCTCGTCTGCTTCGAACATCATCAACCTACGCCCAAGCTTGCCAGCCGCAAATACGGTGGGCTTCTCATCACCGGTGCATCGGGAATGTTTACTCAAACGATCATTGGTGAGTGGCATCGAAAAGACCTCGCAGCGCTACTCAGGTCTGACAGTCCCCCGGTCTCATTGCCCCTCCCACCCAAATCTCTTTTCCGTCGTCTCACCTCATCCTCAACCCTGCATTGCATCTGAACAACCATGTCCACGTAAACACTCTCACCCGTTCTGCCCGTTGTTGGCTCCACGAGGCGAAGACCGAGCATCAGCCCTTCCTTCATACTGTAATGGGAGCAGTCTGGCATCTCTGTCGTAATCTAGCGTGTCCACAGTCAACGATGAAAGCCATCGAGAATGCGACCGTGACGAAGGCAGCAAGAAATGTCCCCGGCCAGAATAGGCCCCCAAGACCGGTCTCGCCCACGAGCAGAAGGCAGACCAAGTTCTCAAGGCGCATCCTGGTCGCCACTCGCACATTATCGCCAATCACACGAGGGCTGCAGAACCCCAACCAACCCGCCGCGTTGGTGACGGGCTACGCCAGACCTGCGCCATCACATCCAGCTGAGCCAATTTTGCTGCAGATGCCAGTCGCAGCCCCGAGGATGCGGCCCCCAGGCGTTGTAGACTTTCTTCGTACCGGCACAACTCAAGGCTCTCCCTCCACTCTTTCTACTCACGTCGAAAGTGTAGGACGCCGGAGAAGAGCGCAAGACAAGTAGCCATCCATGTACACCCCCCTCCGGCAAGTGTTGTTGGTGGTGTTTCCCACCCAGCTGTGCCAGCCTTGTTGGCGGGAGGGAGCACGCGAGTGCTGTGTCTTATTAGTTCCCTTTTCTCCCTCCTTCCCACCTTCTTCATCCTCTTCTGATCATTGCTCGTTTAAGCTGCTTCTCGCTGAGACCTGGGAGTCTAGGCTCCTTGCCGCTCACTCCCGTGCCCACCTCGCATCCGCAACCCGCACCGATAACATCTTGAGATGCCTCGATAGAGGCGCGCCATTTTCCTTCTCTTTCTCATCAAATACAGTATTATTATTCCGCAACATCGTCAGTGTACTCACATGCCCTCGGCATCCTCTCGCTGTCAAACTCCAATTGATACCACCACCCAATAGACAGTCCCGCGGAAGCTGAACAACATAAAACGCTCCTCACCCACAATCTAATACCTAATTCAAGACGATGGAAGGACGAGACTACAACCAGGGGCTTGGCCTCCACGGCTCCCCCGATATTCCAATGACCCCATCCACAGAATGGCATGCCTCCCGCCAGCTGCCCCGGAAACCGATCCCCCAAACCCCGACTACGCCGGCGCCGATCGGCAGCCCGCCGACACCTACCGCGAAATCCCCTCAACCATCTTTCTCCGAACGCGCCGCTGCCGGCGCCGCTGCCTACTTTCCGACGACACAGACCTTTGGCAACCATGGCCAGCACCAACCTCGGCCGCGGCCGTCGCCGCTACAACTAGACTCGTATGAGTACTCCAACTACACGCCGTCTCAGTCTGAGTTCAGCACGCCATACACGGGCGGCTTTCCGCCGAAAAAGCAGGTCCGCATTGACTCGCACTCGGCCCTCTTGTCCTCACCTCCGTACCAGCCCCCGCCGGGCCGGCCAGAGTCATACACGTATCACCCACCGGGCCACATTGCAGTCTATCAGAAATGGTGGCATCCGTCATGGAACATGTACTTCTTCCTGTTCGCCGGTATCGCTTTTGCCATGGGCCACCACTCCTTCTACAAGCATCTCGATGGCTCCGAGGCCACAAATCAGCTCCGTATGCTCCGCTACGGTGCCGCTCTCTCCTTCCTTAGCAAAGCCAGTCTTGCATCAGCTGTGATCCTCGCCTTCCGACAGCGCGTGTGGATGACGGTGCGAAGGAAGATGCTTACCCTGGCAGCAGTTGATTCCCTCTTTGCCGCAGCGGAAGATATGACTGCCATTTTCAACTTCGAGGTCTTCAAGCAGGCCAGGGTCGCGATGATACTCGCCCTGTACATCTGGTGCACACCCCTCGTAGTCATTCTTACATCCGATACCCTGGGAGTACAGCCAAAGACCACGACTGAAGAAACGACGTGCTCGAACATTCGCACCCTCAACTTTACCCAAGAAGAGGTCAATGATTGGCGCGCTGGTACGAAGATCAACGACCTTTACGGACTCTCCGTGACAATCTGGAACACTACCAGCCAAAACCTGACAGACCCAAACTTTTTCGATTACTGGGCCGGCCCTAGCCTCCAATGGGATGAAGTAGCCTTCTCTGCTGCCTTCCAGAAGAAACCCATCGGACGCCTTGAAACCAGTGACGAGGTTTGTGGCGTAGGCTTCAACTGTTCCTTTAGCATCAAGTTCAATGGTCCAGGCTACAAATGCACAGAACTTGCCAGCGGTGTTAATTCGCAGGTCCAAGATCTTCGGAACGCAAAGTGGCCCAGCGAGTATTTCAATTTCAGCTCGCTCGCCCCGACAGGAAATTATACCTACTACGCCCACGCGTCAGAGGGTGAATATGCCAACCCGCAGATCAACGACACATCGGAAGGGGGTCTTCCCAAAATGAAGCCTCCATTTCCACCTCATCTCGGCGTCCTACGCACAGAACCCGTCTTGTGGTTTGGTTACGCCTATGTTGACAATACCGTCAAGACACAGCCGAACAACTCAGGCGACCCAGGTTGGAACGCCGCCTACACTCCAAAGGCTTTCGGCTGTGAACATTATGAGACAGAGTACAACGTTTCTTTCAGCTATCGAAACCAAATACAAAGCACAACCGTCAACAGCAGAAAGTTCTTACGCCCCGTCATCGACACCGTAGTTGATCGTGGCAAAGATGCAAACGATGGTACCGAGGATAACACCACTGCGATACCCGAGTCAAACTACATCAAACCTACCGACCTATATCGCTATAGAAGAGCGATGGCATACCACTCCATGGGTGCCAAACTGCGCTATTTTGTCAACGGCACGATCAACCAGCCATGGTTCAACGCAAATACAAAGGCAGTCCAGACAAAGCTCATCGATCACCACAACTACCTCGGTGTCAGCAATCTGATGGAGCAAGTCCAGTCATTATACGAAGACATCATCATCTCTCTGTTCAGCAACCCCCGCTTCATTTCCGTAGTCTGGGCCGATGACACAACCCAAAGAACGGGAACGAGAACCGAGCCAAAGGGCCTCACCAGCCAAGAGCAGAAATATCCCTGCACCCGCGAACGAACCGACATGCGGTACGACTACCACCAAGGCCAGCTCTGGGCCGTCTACTCCGTCGCCATCTTCCTCGCCATCATCGGCGTCGCGTTCGGCGTGGCGGCGGTCTGGGAAGAGGGCCTGGTCCGCAACACCCGGTTCAGCAGCATCGTCGCAGCAACCCGCGGCCCCGGCCTCGAGAAGCTGCCCTGGGGGAACACGGTGCCCGGCAGCGACCACCGGCCCGTCGCCGGGGCGAGGGTGGGGTACGGCCTCGTGCCGACGGATCCGCATGCCGGCGGCTCGACGTACGGTTTCGGGCTCGAGGGTGACGTAAAGCAACGCAGCCGGGAGGAGCAGCCGTCGAGGACGCCGACGGGGTTGGGAAGCCCCTTCAACCGGGCGAGCAGGAGATGGTCAAAACTAACCTCAAATTCGCCGCCGCCGCCTAATACGTCAGATGGCAGGTAGCCAAGCCATGTTAATTCCGTAGTGTAATTATTAGAGATTTCGTTTTCCCTTCCCAACTCCCATCCGTGCAGTCGTTTCTTATCACAGGCATCAAGTTCTCGCATCAAAACATGGCAACGTGTATCTCAGGTATTCATATTAACTCGACGCAAAAGAAAAACTGTATGTGCGATGACCAGTCTCTACATACTACTCCGTGTAAGAGACAAACAACCTCCCTGCCCTGCTTTGTCCAGGAATAAAATGCATACCATGAGCCTATCCCGCCGCCCAACTGCCTTTCGCCCAATATTTACATTAAGCCATACAAAGACGTGGTATATGCGCTCTGCGCGAAATGAGGTAACGCCCACTTTTTTTTTCGTTTCCCATCCGAAACCGTCAATATGATAAAAACGCCGCGAACCCGATGATGGTTGATTTCCATCCAAATCCCCTTCCTACCAATGTCATTATGCCTTCGTGTGGTTTTGTCCTTGAGTAATGCTGTGGTTTTCTCGTTCGTGATATGCTGATTCGTGAAGAATTCCTTGTTTGCCGTTTTCGTAGACGTTCCCTCGTTGCTCGTTACAGATCTTCGGCCAGAAGCGCGCGCACCTCAGGCTCGTTAAGAAGCTTACGCTCGCCGAGCTCTTCAGGCGGCTTGCCATCGCGGACAGCACCAAAGTCGAGGATCTGAGCATAATAAGTTAGTAAATCAATTCAAGGATCGGGTAGCGAGGGAAAGCTTACCTCGACATATGTAAGACTGTCACGCTGAACGGCAGCAACACAACGTCTCTCGTCGAATTTGACTTGCCAGACTCCGCTAAGGTCTGTCAACAGGTCTTGCACGCACTCGCCGGTGCGAATGTCCCACATCTTGACCGTCTTCTCGCTGCCGGAGATGACTTTGCGGCCGTCATGTTGGAAGCAGGTGATAGCGCCCGTGTGAGCCGTCAACACGTTCTTGCACTTGCCGTTCTCCGGATCCCAGATGCGCAATGTGCTGTCAGCAGCAGCTGACACCAGTCTCTCATCGCGCAAGTCCAGCAAACCAACAAGCAGACTATGCCCCTCGAGAGTGTGAAGACAGGCGCCGGTGTTCAGGTCCCAAATCTTGACCAGCGAGTCCATCGAGCCGGAAATGCAGCGGTTGCGCTCATGGTCCAGCACGACACTGTAGACCTTCTGAGAGTGACCGTGGAGTACATGGAGCGACTCGCCAGTGCTGATGCGCCAGACTCTAACGGTGCTGTCATAGCTTCCACTGACAAGAGTATCGCCGTGGGCGGAAATCGCGCGAACCGAGTGAGTGTGACCAGACAGGGTCCGAATGAAGTACGGGCAGTCGGCGTCATTAGCTGGGGGGCCGGTCTGGATGTACCTACGCGAGCCGACCTCAGGCAAGCGCCAGACGCGGAGCTGGCTGTCACGAGATCCGGTGATGATTAGAGGCTTCTGAGGCGCCATGATAGCCTTGCCGTCGTGGGTTTTGCCGGTCTCGGTGGGCATGAGGATCTGCAGACAGCGCACCGTGCTGGTATGTCCGTAGAAGACTTGGGTGCAAAGACCCTTTTCAATATCCCAAACGCGTACAGACCGATCAGTGGATCCAGACACAAGCATGTTGCCCTCGTACTGTAGTGCCCAAACGCCACCCTCGTGGCCCTCGAGCTTCTTCCGCAACTTTCCGGTCTTGGTATCGTAGACGTGGATAAGCGTGTCGTCGCTACCAGTGATGATCTTGTCTTCATCAAACTGCAAGCAGGTGATGACGTGACGAGGGTGGGCGGCAAAAGCGACGTGGCCAGGCTTTACCTTGCCGCTGGTCCAGCTTTGGCGGATCATGTAGTGGCGGCGGTAAAGACTCTTGAACAGGTGAAGCTTCTGCAAGCTTGGCATGCCCAGCCGAGGATTGGGCACCGCAGTGGCAGCGGCGTTTGCTGCCGACAGAGGTCCCTCAGATTTGTGCTGCCTGACTTCCAACTGCAGTGCCTCGTTGCGGGCAGACTCCTGGCCACTAACCCTCCTCTTTGATCGATCTGCACCCGGAATGTTCATACCCCGCTTGCGCTTGGAACTGCGGAGCTTGACCGTTGGATCTGGCTTCACGACAGCCTTGGTCAACTCGTTGTCTGCCGAGTTCAACCGGCTGGTCCGGCTGAGGTCAACTTCAGCACCCATGACGCCGACAGGATCCTGCCAACCCCAACCCTGAACAATAGCCTTGTCAAGCTCGCCAGGAGGGAGCCTGAATCCGTCTCGATCAAACAGCTCTTTCCAACCAGTCTCGTTCGTGTCGACGATGTTCCGCCAGTGCTTGGAAACTTGGGCGGCTCGGCAGAGGTCGCGATGGTCGAGGAAGGACAGCACGTGAAAGCTCAACTCAAGGGGGAGTTGCTTCAAGAAATCGCATTTCAGCGCCGGGGTGACGACATCGGCTACGAGTCGCAATGTCTTCCTAGGGCAGCGGCGAAGGAAGTTGTACATTATGAAACTCTTCATCTCGCTGGGCATCGCGTCGAACCTCTCCATCATGGTGCGTGCGTCGAGCATGGCGGTGTGGGCATCAAGGTTATCGAGTTGGGACGTGCTGTCATCAGCGGCTACCATGGACAGGTCAGAGGAGTAGCCGCCCTCCTCCCCGGCCTGGGAGTCGTGGAGCCACTGCTGGTTACGGAAGCTGTGATTTCTCCTGGTTAGAGCGGTGCTCTGGGTCGGGTCCTCGTCCTCGTCTTCGGAATCTCTGGAACCCAGTTGGGCGGCCGCGAGTGTGGGGGAAAGTCTCGGACTAGGGAGGCTCGCATCCTGGGCAGCGACGGCATCGATCGAGGGCCGGTGACCAACGGCACGGATAGCCTGTTGCAGAGACTCGTCGGCATCGACAAAGGGCTCGGCGTCAGCATCGGTGATGGGGGGGGTGGCTACGTTGCTGCTGAAGACGGTGAGGGCATCGCTGCCGATGGGGCTTGGTGCGTCGTGCATGTTTGCTTGACTGCTGGGGCCGGACTCGGGGGTATGGCTTGTGCGTGCGATCTGGAGTCGAGGTCGAGGGAGGCGGTCGGAAGAAGAGCCGGCTAGCTCAGAAGTGTCGGGGGTAGCCAGGCAGCCGGTCTGCTTGCCTCTCGAGAGGTGGCGTCGGAGTCTTTGTGAGGCATCCTCGGTGAAAGAAAGGCCGACTGATCGGGGGTTTCCGGAGGGCCTTGATGGGAGACTGGGAGACGCGTTCTGAGATGAAGGTGAGGGATCACGAGCAGTTGAGCGACGTGACCTTCTCTGAAAGGGGTCTGAGGGGGACTTTGATGTGCGTCTCGGGGACTCTTGGCTGGACTCGTCTTCTTTGAGCAGACCTGCGGGTTGCCTATCGGCTGCAAGAGGGGTCTTGCGCTGCAAAACAGACAGCATGTCAGCATTCGGTGGAGGACAAGGAGAGGAGGACTCGAGGGCGGCGGGTACCTTTTTGGGGACGAAGAGGTCATCAGTCATGGCATCGGTAGAGGAGCCGGTGACGCTGAAGGAGAAGTTTGCGAGTTCGGGAGGCAGAGGCTTCGAGGCGAGAGGGTACTCCTTGGAGTCGAGTTCGTGGAGAGGGCGAACGTCGCGCAGATAGACGGGAGGGAAAGTGCGCTTAGTGGTGGTGGTAGTGGTGGTTGTGGTGGTCTCGATGCACTCGGAGACTTGGTACTGCAGGCTGGTCGAGTCCTGGCCGTGTGCCGAGTTGTTCTTCTCGTCGACGGAGAAGGAGACGGTCTGACTGGAGCGAGGCCGGCGGACCTCTACGGCGTTTGACTGAGGACCCGGCGAGGGCGTCATGTCGGGCGACGAGAGAGTTGCAAGGCGTTTGAGCGGACGAAAGGGTTGTGCCAGAGAGTTTGGAGGGCGGGGATAGGAAGAATGGAGGCGATCTCGAACAGGTTCGCGAGAGGGGAGGCGGCGGAGAGGAGGAGGAGGAGTAGGAGAGGGACAAAAGAGGATCGGGTTCAGGGCAGCCGCGGGACAAAGTGGTAGATGGTGGATGGTGGATGGTGGATGGATGTGGCAGCAGCAGGCGGTGCGGCGGTGGAAGTGGTTTGGTGAGGGTTCCAGGTTGGATTTGAAGAGTGGCGGGCGCGGGATTACGGTGCAAGGCAGCGGCACCACGGGTGCGGCTACGAGGACGGGAAGGTAGACGGTACGGTGCCAACCACCTTTCTTTTGTGTGGTGGATATGTACCCGGTACTGGTGAAGTGGAGTTTTCTTCTCTTTTTCCTTTTGATCCTCCTAATGGCGGAAGGGGGTACAGCGTGAGGCAAGAAGCAGCCGGGCAGGGCAGCTGATGGGCCTGGTCCAAGTCCAGGTCCAGGTCCCGGGGGCAGGTCCAGACGGGGGAGGCCAGAGTGCGTGCAGCGACAACCTACGAACGGCACCTATTGCACTACACTGCACCGGCCTGTACACCGCAACGAGTGGTATTTTTTATAGATGGAAGAGATGAAGTGCCGTGATGGGTGAGAGTCTTAGGTCGAAAGCAGGGCAGGAAAACAGGGCACGGTGAACGAATGCACCTCACTGAGTCGACGGCGAGTAAGGCGCAGAGGAAGGATGGGAGGAGAGAGGCGTCGGTGAACAACGCGGTGAGACGACAAGCAAGCGTCGAGGAGAGACAGAAGGGGTCCAGCTGGCAGTTAAGCCAAAAGACACTGGACGATATAAATCCAGGCACGTCACCTACCTACCTAGGCTGGAGATTGTAAGATGCCGGGGACGGAGGAATGTCGAGTTAGAGTGCGTACAGGTGTTTATGTTTAATGCAGCCGTTTGTCTCTCTGTCTTCTGTGCTCTGCTTCCCGTTTAGGCGGCCACTCTGCCTTTTCCGATGTCGTTTTTGATGTCAGCAGCAGTTTGCGTGCAGTGGGCACTGGCAAGACTTGACAGCAGCAATGCGATGGCAGAGAAATGCGGAATGGTTGTGACGGTGCTCGGGCTGGATGCACTAAACAGAGACACCAGGGACTGAATCACTGAATCACTGGGCCACTGACGCTGCAAAGGCAACCCGCCCGGACAAAAATAAACGGAATAAGTAACAACAATAACGAGATTGTTGCTTAGGTTGTTGCTGAGGGCCGGCCGTCCCATCACTGGGTCAGTGTTATTAGCATGGCCGTCGAGTTCAGCAACGCCGCTACTCACTCTAGTCTCTAAGATACTCTCTAGTGCAGAACTGACAGTGAAAAAAGTTGTTTTCCCCTCCGCTGCCTTTTCCAACACCACTGAAGTTGTCTGCCCAGTGTGCCTGCCAGTCCAGTGTCCCAGGGCAGTGGAGAGAGAGAGCAGGGCAGGCACCCGACCGCGTAGTGTCTGTGCTTCGACGTCCCGTCCATGCCTAGGTTGCAGCAGGTGTTCGTCGCCCTTATTCTTCTGCCCCTTCTTTCCTCACGGTTCGCTCTGGAAGTGTCTTCTCATTGGCTGATTTACCCCGAACCCTCGGTAGTGGGGCTGACTCATGATAGCCTCACATGTACTCCTCACACCAAATCATCACCAGGCGATACCTCTTTTCGAAACAACAGGCTGCTCGCGTGGTCTCCTGGATCTGGAACGCGGGTGGCCTGTCCAAGGCTCCAAGCCTCCTCTCTGCGCTGGCCAGGCTAGGGTGGGTTTGCCCTTTCACACGCTCTCCGGGTCGTCACTGAGTCTGTGTCTTTCGCGTTTCTCCTCAGCCGTCCAATCCCCATCTCGAGTCACCTCTCTTCAGTCCTCGTCTGTCGCCGTGGCTTGTTCTTTTCCCCCAATCCCCGACTCCTTTGACGTCCTTTGTCACGGATTCAGCGAACTGTGGAATTCTCCAGACGCCGGGCCCCCTCCCCTATTGTCTAAGGTCTTCTGCACTTCTTCTCGACAACCCAGAGACACGAACCCATCGTCAGCTCCATTCCACATGGATTCTTCTGAGCCCAGGGGTCGACCCCAATTGTACCCCTTGTTCTTGCGAACTCGTCCCCGTGGCTGGTCACCACTTTCATCATGATCCTTGGTCCATGGGCCATGGTCCACGATACTAGTCCACAAACCATGGCAAAACCAACCCAGCCCCTCGGCCCGCTCCCCTCCCCTCCCACTCCCGATTCATCATTCACCACTCGTCTTCACTTCACTTCTCGCGTAGACAACATGCACCAGGCACCCTCGACACGCTTTGCTTGACTCGACCCCGTGGGCTCGTGGCTGGCGCCATCCTCACTTTCAAGAAGAATTATTCTCCTCCCGCCAGACACGCTCAACCAGCCGGCCACCCGATCGATCTGTCTCTTGTCTCTGGCCTCGTGCCAAGGGGCATCGCGTCTACCTAAAAATCCACAACCGCGTCTCTCCCGTGTCTTGTCTGCTCCTGTCCGAGTTTCAAGAAATGCATTCCCTCCCCTCCCACCCCTTACCTCACTCACCCAGCATCGTACATGTCCAAATATGCATCTGCCAGGCGTCCCCTATTCGACTGATTCCCTTATCTGATGTCTCTTGTCTTCTGTAACTCTTCTCCCCCTCGTCATCTTGACCGCCTCGCAAGACATCGTTACCCGCCAGCCCCTAGAAAACAAAAAATAGGACGCCACAGACGCCAGGAACCTTACCACCAAAAATGGTCATGACGATGTCCCTCCCGTAATACTTGCTTACCTCACCTCACTGCACCTACACTTGTGCCGTACCCTTCGAGGCGAAGCACAGAGAAAGCCCGAATTCGCACAGATGCGCGCCATAAGACGACATCACATTAAATAGCTCCCTGCACGCCAAACCCTCAGAGTTGCGGCATGCATCAAACTATCGGCACCGCTGCCTGCATTCGTCGTCCCTTACCGAACCAACACGAACCTTACCTCCTCCAAAAAAAAAAAAAAATACAAAAAGTGATCAGCAACCACCTGGGTACCAACAGCGACTTGGTGATCGTTGGAGAAGAGTTCCATGGCGTGACATTGAACGCCCATCATTGTCAAGGCGCTGCACCTCAACCCCGTGTCAGCACCCAGGCCCCGATACGAATCGCACACGCTCCGCCGGTCCAACGTCAGATGCATATTGCCCCCTTCTCCTACCAATTACTACCAACGACTGCCTGTTTGCAGCAAAAAGCCCCCTCTCTCGTCATCAAAGCTACCTGCCAGTTCGTAAGCAAGTCCTTCAGCCACGCTCATCTTGCCTTACGAAAGCCGGCCTTGTGTGTCCTTGGGCTCCCTCTCGTCTTGTCCGGTCACCACCCGCTAAGCCTGCCATCCTATGCTGCCCTCCCCCCGTGCCCCCCCGGTGTCCCCGGTATTCTTAACCCCCCTGCCCGTCCCTCGCTCTGTTGCCCTGTTTGCCGCCGCCTGCCTGGCCTGGGCTGCCCGCCCCCCGATCCAGCCTAGCGGCGCCATAACGCGCACCGCTCGCCAGCACCGGAGGCACGCCGAAGGACAGGGAATGAAACAGCGCAGCAACCACCCGCCGTAGGCACTGCCCCTGCTCTCTGGTCCGCTGTAGTGCCTCGGTGACGAACCAGTGACGGGCCCCGCATATCCGTCTTCCGTTTCCAGACCTCTCCGGCACTCCGGGTTGCCTCACCATCTTCGCCTGGCTTCCGATTGCATTCCAGCAACCTGCACACAAAGGGTATTGAATGTGTCATGTCCACAAGTCTAGAAGGTCGTTCTGGCATTTCCCAATAATTAACCACAATCTTGGTTCGGAACATCACTCCGCATGGGTTAGGTCGGTTGAAGCATTCGTGAGCAATCATTTTCATGCCTTGAATTGAAATCTATCGTGCACTTTTTCATAGCCAAATGATCATCATGTCCCTGTGAGTCCCGAAACGCGCTGCCATGCTAACAGTAAAGGAAATCACCATCTTCCTAAACACTCCCCTAAATCCAAAGCGCTCGTGGCTCGAACGAGACACGAGGCAGATGTTCATCACTGCTCTCACTGCCCCGTCCGATGGCCAATCAAGCAATGTACACAGGCAACCGACTGCCAAAAAGCTCACTCTTGGGCAGTTGGACGTCGTTCTTGTGGAAGTCGTGAAGCATGAGCCAGCAAATCATCCGGAACACGAGCGTGCACCAGATGTCCTCGTGGGTGGTCTCATGGGACGTGTCCTCATCCAGCAAGTCAATCTCTTCCTTGTCATCTTCAATCTCAGGCAAGTGTTCGAACGCAATCTCCTCCTCTGACTCTTCGTCCGAAGACTCGATTGTTGCGACTGTTCGCGTTGTACGCGCCGTGGTCGCACGCTTGAGACCGTAGCCTGCCGGCGCCGGCGCTGCCTTGGGTTTGGTCTCCTCCGCTCGCCGATCCGTCGACTTCTGTGACTCGTCTATGACCTTTTGCCGCACCGTTTTGAAGTACACTTCCATGAGCTTGGCTTGCTTGAGCTCCGGAGGAGCCGCGTCAATGGCCTCAAAGCGTGATTTGGTTTTTGTGGTCGTGGTTGCAGGATAGCCGGAGGCGTCTTGAGTGCGTTTGCCAGGTTGGGGATTGAAGCCAGAAAGAACCTCCTGGATATGGCTGCGAAGCACGTACCGGACCATTTCACGTCGTTCCACCTCGTAGGCCGATTCTGTATGGTCTCCCAGCACGTTTCCAGGCTTATCCGAGATGGATCGCATGAGTTTGGACTTGGTTGTGTATTCCCTGTGCATGGTTGGGCGGGTCTCTTTCCTCCTGAATGTCAGGATATCGTCAGTGTCGTCGAGTGCAGCATGTAGGGCGCTCATGAGCGGCAAGCTCAGTTCGGCGCGTCGATTCGCCGGCGCTGGCTTGATTTCCTTCTGCAAAATCTTGATATGCCTCCAGATTTGCCTCGCCTCATCGCTGGGGTTCCTCTTTCCGCCGTAGAGCTTCTTAAGCTGGTAGGCATATGCATCGAGCAGCCTCGGCAGATCAAAGTTCTTCGTATCCCATTTGAAAAGAGTTGGATTCGGAAGCAAACGGAACACACTTCTGTCAATATGAAGAGTTTGTCCAAGCATGCCAACAATCTCGAATGCAACTGTACAACGTCAGCGTCAAGTACTCTGCGCGGTGTTGCTCATACTGTCAATTACCTGGGAAAAGATGACCAAGCTTCGTTGTCGTCTTGTTGTCAGAGAAGTATCTGACTGTATTCGTGTTGCAGCCGATCAACACCAGAGTTTCTGCGATCTCGTCCATGGTCGCAAAGTTCAAGTTAGACAAGTCCCGGGATTCCCCAATAGGAAGATTGAGACGTCGATCGTCTGATTTTGACTTGTAAATCGTTGGAACAAAGCCGAAGCAAAGCTCCTTGACCTCGTCGACAGGAATTACGCGATTGGACTCGAAGCGGTTGCGTCCATGTACCTGGAAAGTGAACATGATGCCCAGCTCGCTGACCTTGGATCCAGTGACGGTGTACCCGTTACCTTCAGCTCGGTACCTGTCATTCGTCCGGTCAAACTCAACCCAGTAGATACCAAGCAACGCAATCATCTCTACGATGTGGCACCAGGTTGTAGTAGCATAAGGCTTCTTGATGCTGGATGGCATCGTGTCCCAGCTCTTAAGCTTCTTCTGTAGTGCTACAGTCAAACTGTAACTAGCAGTCACCGAGTCGAGTATTCCGTCGATATTCTCAAGCGCATTGATAGGAGCGTCGGCTTTCGGAGGCGGCTGCTGTTTTGTCTCGTTGTCATACTTCTGCTTTTGCCATTCTCTAGACTCGTGCTCCATTCTTTGCAGTGCTGAGAGAAGAGTAACCCAAGAGGCCAGCTCGTTGTCGGCCGTGTGTACCGCACGTTTGATTTCCTTCTCGGTGCTAGGCTGGGCTGCTCCTAGCGATGTCCATGTCTCCTCGAGGCTCTTTTGAGATCCGTCGATGAACAAAATCGGCTGTTTTTTGACAGGGCCGTTCTCGTTGCCGGGGCGGCAAAGAAAGATGACGGGCGCCTCAAATTGAACCTCGAATCGGAACTCGTAAGGCTTGAGCACTCTTCTCCTTCCTTGTTCCCACAGCCCTATCGCTTTGTCGTCGCAACTTGAGTATCCGGCCGCCGAGGCGTAGTATTGCTGAGCAACTTGTAATAACGAAGCAAGTAAAGCAATAAGAGAGATGACAAGAGCGGCGATGGCCACCCACAACTCGTTGTCGTCGTCGTTGATGTTGTTGTTGATCAGGTCCAGCGTTTCCCTGAACTGCGAATCGTTCATGCCCGTCGTCATGATGGGCGTGTAGGCGAGGCCGTAAGCAGATGTACGCTGCTGTGCCTCTCCCTACCGACGTTCACAATCAGGCTCTGAACTTGTGTATCACAATCGGCTCGGTAGATTCGTCGTGTTCGACTCGCTCAAGGAATTGGGGTCGTAGGGGGGTTTAGTTGAAGAAGCCATGGACAGAAGAGACGTGAGGGAGCCGAGCCTCCTGGCAGATGCGTCAGATTTGTTCAGCTCGAGTGGCCCAGGAGGAGACCTGGGGTGTCGGGTGTGTCGAAGCTGGCAAAGAGCAGCGCAGGGCAGGGCAGACGAGGCTGCACGACGAGCTAGCGCGCGATGGCGGCACAGCCGCCTGCGTTGAGAAGGGTCTACAGCTGGGGAGCTGTTGGACGGGTAGACGGGTTGACGGTGGATGGGCTGACTTGTGTCTCTGCCGCCGGCATCGAATTGCCTGGCGAATGGAACGTTGGTCGATGGCTGCGAGAGACTGTCCTGTTCCGTCTCGTACAGCGGTGCGCGCATGCTGCCAACGGCCAGCAGGCAGACACAAACCGTTTGCCCAGCCATCTTGTTTCTCTCAAATGGAGAGGCCCCGTCCATCCATCAGCAAAGAACCGTGGCCCCATCCCCTGGCCGCAGCATGGCCCCCTTGTCTTGCCCAATAGCCCTATCAGTCGCTAGCTCGTGGCTCATATGGCACTATTTTGCAGTGCTGCTGGGTGGGTTTGTGGAACGATAGCAGGCAGCGGGATTCGCGGGCTCCGCCATGATTTACGACAACGGCAAACAACAATGGCAATGGTTACCGGCGTTGGCGATGCAATGCGGTTGCTGCAGGTATGTATGTATGTTGACGTGGACGAGGGGAGCATGGAGTTGTGTTGACGTTTGGTAGTGGCAGTGCTTCACAACTGCTGCTTAAACCGTCCCAAAAAGCCAAACCCGCGTGTGCCCCAGGACTAGGAGCGGCCCGCCGTGCGAACCAAAGGTCGGTGCAAAATATAGCGAGCGGGAACAGTTGAAGGCGGGATGGCAGTGCATTGCGGGCAGCTCCGTTTCCTGCCTGGATACTTGCTCAAGCACGCAACTGTCAAGCTTCCCCTCAGATCGTTGATAGCGTCTTAGCGCTCCGTTTTCCGCCACCTGTAGTGTCCACCTCGCTAAGCGTACCCGGCAGCACAGGCCAAAGATGCCACAGCTGTAGGGGGGGACAAGTGTCATTGGATTGGATCCAGCCAAGAGGTTTTAATGGCAAAGATTCTCATCCACTCAATCTCTCACTCCACTCACCGCCAGCGACGACATGTCTTGCAAGTAGACCATGTGACTGGAAGCCATCGAGCGTGCCCTCATACACGGAAGTACTGATGTTCTAAATCATATAGAATATCCTCCTTCGAATGAAGTCAATGCCAAACTGACCAGTATGATCATAATCACTGAAAGCACCCTCATCCCGAGCAGACAGTACGACGAATTACGTTGGCAATCGCAACATGACCATTTCCTCTTTGGACCCATAGCACATTACCACCAAAGTCCCATGCGAGACCGAGCAACCCGAAAGTTCCGATAGAAATGTCTCATTATCAAGGAACCGCTAAGGATAGCTTTGAATACATAAGCGCTTGTTTTAGCTTCACGCTGGCGTCAGGATCCTCTCTGTAACCCCTCAGCATGCTCGTCAACACGCCAAATCCTGGCGAGATAAAGGATAAAGCCATGGCCATCCCCAGTCATTTCCTCCCGTTACGAGATTTGTGCTGCGAGAAACACGTGTTTGCTCTGGCCAGATTGGACCGCAATGTTTTGGCCCTTCATAAGTCGATACCCAGAGCGTAGAGTCGCCGACGTGGCTGGCAAGAGCTACGACTACATCATAGTCGGGGGTAAGTCAAAGTATGCTCCCAATTTTTGGCTAGCATCTCGAAATCTAACAGGCCAAAAGGCGGAACAGCAGCATGCGTAATCGCCTCTCGACTCAGCCAAGACCCCAATGTTAGCGTCCTCGTCATATCCAAGGGCAAAGTCAAGGACGACTGGTTGAGTAGCATGCCCATTGTTGGCAACGCAAGAGAAAACTACGGGTCAGACATCGATACCATCCCTTCAGAACCCGACGAACAATGGAACGGCGTTCCGGTCAGATACTTCGCGTCGCAGGCGCTCGGCGGGGCATCCATACACAACGGGCTGCAGTACACGCGCGGACCTCCCGCCAACTACAACCACTGGGCAGCTCTCGGCAACGACCAATGGAGTTTCGAGAAGTGTGAACCCTACTTCAGGAAGCTCGAGAATGCCTCGTCTCAGCCCAGGGCGCCATATCGCGGTCATAATGGTAGTCGACTTCCACGTGTTGAGCACTGTTGATATGACACTGACAAATGATCTCAAGGCCCAATCCATATCAGACAAGACCCGTCCTTGAATTCCGTCGATAAGTAGTGAGAGGTACCGCGCTTCTCATAACGTATTAATACTGATGGCCAAACAGTATCGAGGAAGCAGCAAAGGACATGAATTTGCCCGTGCGAAACGACATCAACAACCCGGACGCCCCGCCAGAAGCCTTATTTGAGATCGAGCACATGATCACCAAGACTGGACATCGCAACTCCGCCCAGGTGGGCTATCTGCCCAAGTCGCTTGTGCTGGAGCGCCAGGAAACCCTCACCATTTGCAGCGGCGCCGTGGCCACGAGACTCCAATTCAACCAAGATGGAACAGAAGCGATCGGTGTATACATCTTGGATCGCCTTGACCAAAAGTCGGCGAAAGAGTGTCTTGTCAGTGCAAATAGGGAGGTCATTGTCAGCTGCGGTGCCCTATTCAGCCCCCAGTTTCTCATGCTGAGGTACGTAAAACCCCTATTGGAGTATGAATTTTACTCCAGCTGAGTCCTCGCAGTGGAATTGGCCCCAAGGAACAGCTTGAACAACACAAGATCCCCTTGGTGCGAGACATGCCCGGAGTAGGAGCAAACCTCAACGACCACATCGCCTTCAGCATCGCCTTTCAAGTCCGCCTCGCTGATTCTTACATCCGCCTACTCAACCCTCTAATTGCCATCTGGCACCTTCTTCTCTTCATATTCACGAAGACGGGCATTTTCTCACGTTCAGGTGCTCGACTGTGCGCCTTTCTTTCCAGCGAGAATATCGACGAGAAGACCATGACGCTGAAGCCACCCAGGAATGCCTCCGATGAGCAGCGCAGGAGGGATCCGCATCTTCCAGAGAACGCCCCCGATGTGGAGCTTCTGTTCATCAACGCGGCGTTCGACTATGAGAGGGGAAAGGGGTACTGCGGCTTCCAGACGTGTCTCGTCCAGCCATTTTCAAGGGGTCGGATCGAATTGGCGTCTTCAGACCCCCTGGCCTTTCCCAAGTTTTACTCTCAGTTCCTCACGGATCCGCGCGACTGGGCGGTGGCGCGAAAGGCAGCCCGTTTCGCGATGAACTACGTCGAGACGTTCCGAAAATCCAAGTATCCTTTCAACTCCACCTGGCATATTGCTCCTGGAGTCCAGCGAGGAAGTATGGAGGGCAGTTGGAAAGACGTGTCGGATAAGGAGATGGACAGGTTTCTCAGAGAGCGGCTGCTCAACTTCTATCACCCGACCTCAACCTGCCATATGGGCTTGGAGAAGGATGGCGCTGTCGTTGGCCAGGATTTGAAGGTTCACGGGTTCAAGAATCTGAGGATCGCAGACGCGAGCGTGTTTCCGATGGTCACCAGTGCCCACACCACGGCACCAGTCTACATGGTTGCAGAGAGATGTGCTGATTTCATCAAGAATGATTGGTCGAAAGAGAGTCACTGACAGGAATGCTCACTTTGATAGTTTCATCAGCAAGAGTTGCGTAGCGGTGGTTCATGGCTTGGTATATTCATTCATTGCCGGCTTTCCAGCCCGGTATTATTCACAACTTGGTGTCTCCTCGCGCTCCTCCATTGAGTCACAAAAGGTGCTCGTCGAACCAGGCAATGGCCTGGTAGAAGGCCTGCTCCTTTGCGTACTTCTGAACCTTCTGGCTGACATCGCAGCGGACGGCGAATCCGTGCTCGACGCCGGAGTACAGGTTGATCTGGTAGGGCAGGCCAGTCTTCTGCAGGATCTCCTCGGACTTGTGGCGCAGAGGGGTAGGGAAGATGCTGTCGGTCTCGGCGGCGGCGATGGAGAGGGGGCCGTTGATGGCGGCGAGCTCGTCCTCGTCAACGAAGCTGGGGTGGGCGACGAAGCCAACCTTGATGCCGTCCTTGTAGTGGCGAACAACGTACTGTGAAGGAAAACGTTAGCTAGGCCGCTCTGGGCTGTTGCGCATTGGTGTGGTTTGACGTGGACAAACCTTTGCGCCGAAGCAGTAGCCAACAGCACCGAGGTTGGTGATGTTGTGCTCCTGCTGGAGATACTTGATGGAGTCGACAATGATGGGGTCGACGTCCTCCTTGTTGTGGGGGTGCTTGCCATCGCTGCCCTCCTTGAACCACTTCATGATGTCGAAGCCAGCGGGCATGGGAAGAGACAGTTGGTCGCCATCGAAGAGATCGACAATCAGGGTGGTGTAGCCGTTGGCGGCGAACTGGTCGGCGAGGAGCTGGCTGTTTTGCCAGATGCCAAAGACGTCGGCAACGAAGAGGATGCCGGTGTTCTTGTGAGCCTTGCCGGCGGGAGCCTCAGCGAGGTAGCCCTCATACTTGCCGCCGACGGAGACCTTCTTGCCCTGAGGGGTACCCCTTTACACGATGACATATTGTTAGCGACATCGAGTCCAAGATGCTGGTGATGGTTGGATTGCGATCCTTGGCGGGATACAGGAGCTTGGGTGCGCGGTTCAGGGAATCAAGCTTTGCGAAGTGGGGGAGGGGTCAACTGGCGGGGTCATTGATAGATGTCTGTTACGTACTCATGCTTGACGCCGACTGTGCAGCACTGTCCGGGGGGGTTAGACGCCATTGCGATTATTGCGATGAATCAGTTGTCAAGAGCAGTCTGGAAAGAAGAAGCAGAAAGATGTTTTGGTATCCTGTTTAGGGAGAAGGGGTGTAGACGTGCTTAAGAGTGGAAGCTTGAGTACCTAGCTTGGACGGAACTAAGAGGGGCTCTTGAGATGGAGGCAATACTAAGGTATGGATGCTTGGAAGGCCCACGGCCACGGGTGTTGAGTGCGCCGGGGCCGCGGCGTTGACGTGAGGCATTACCAAGCAACTGGATTCTCATTGCGCATGCATCATTGCTTGCCCATGGCATTGCGACTTGGTAGCCCCTCTTGCCCTCCTGGACGGGCATTCTTTTGGCTTCTTGGACACCCAAGACGGGGAAGCCATGTCGGCCGAGATCCGATCCGATCCAATGCAATGATTCCGCCGTACGCCAATTGGTTCAGAACCGGTGTAACTCGGACTCCATGTGCTCCAAGGGGCCCCCTCTCGATGAGACAGAGGCAACACAACAGACGAAGAAACAGACTCAAGACTCGGAGGTATTGCCTTCAAGCTCCAAACTCCATTCCCCACTTCGCCGAGAGTCCCGCCTTGCCCTCGGGTTCGCTCTGTGTTCTAGTTGCAAAAAAAGAAGACGGCTAGGGCTTCCACCACCAGCCAGGCAGGTCACCGATCCGGTACCGGTGGGCGGCAGTGTCCCGCGCGCGGTGTCGGAAATAAGGCGGAAGCCATCCCTCGAGCGGGCATGTCACCATCGCGGCCCGGTACCAGATGGTGTTGGCGGTGACGATCCCTCGGCATTTGAAGAAATATTTGGGTCTCCTCTGAAAAAACGGTGCAAGGCTGTCGCAGGTCGCAACTTCACTTGGGATTGAAATGACGCTCCTCCCCACCGAGAAAAGAGCCACAGCTGTGAAGTTATCCGTAACCTCACCATGACTTCATGTCCGGTTTCGGTGAGAGCTTCTTCACCTTGTCGGCCTTTTTCCAAGGTGAAGGCTGAAAGCCAGGACTGGGACGGGACCTTCCCAGTGTGCCAGTATTGATGGTAAATCCGTAAATCCGTGCTGACTCAGACCGCTCCTATCGATATCGCTTGCTGTTCGCGCACAGACTCTTTCCGCCCAGTGTGATACGTCACTCCTACCAGGCACTCAGTGGGTGACCAGCGACCACTGCCAACGGGCAGGAATGGAAGACCCAGCGGACCTGTCCAGCGCATTCAGACGGTCAGATCCAAATCTCCCTTAGCGTGCTCCACAGTGCTCTCCTCTGCCGTGGCTGCCCAGGTTTCCCTGTCTGAGCGTCCGCCGGGCCAATCACCAGTCCAATCCGCAGTCGTCCTTTTGGAGATCCTCCCGCTGGGCAGCACACTTTCAGCGTTCAATGTTCGAAAGCGTGTCTTTGGTGTGTCCTGAACCCCCCACTCCATCAACCTGCGAAGAACTGCAAACTGCAAGGCTAAGCTTCGTCGCTTCACTCCCGTGCGGCACACGACCTGACCTCGACCTATCGAATCCTTGATCCAAATACCTCGGACTACCTCATTCGTTTATCCGTGTCCGCCTTGCTTTCCCGCGAACCAACGAACCCCCGACGGCCAAAAGCGAATGGAGCCGATCCCTCGCGACCACGAAACACAGTGAAGGGCTTGGGAATGGCAGAAGGCGAACACCGAGTGCGAGAGGCCGAGGACCATGCATCGTCTGGAGATACCACCGCCGAGCCCGTCGAGGCCTTCCCGGCCATGCCAGCCTTCCCCTCCGACGGCCTGCCACTCGACCGCAATGCCGTAGATACGAAAAGCGACATCAGAGTCTCGCACATTCCTATGCCACCATTGCCCAGCGTCTCTGCGAGCGCACCTCCTACCTCGACACTTCCTACCATCCCCGGCGGTCACTCCGACGAAGAGCAATCGTCAGATGCCTCCTCGACGCACAGCAAGCCGGAGCTGCAAGAGTCCTCCAACTCTTCCTCCATATCCGAACCTGCGACCGCCGTCGAGAAGAAGGATGCCGAACACAAGGAGGGCGCAGAGCAGAAGACACGGGCGAGAGCCGGGTCTAGTTCCGCATCCATGAGGAAGAATCAGAGCCACGATAATGTTAGGAGGTTGTCTGTGGCGGGAATGCAGCAGCTGCAGGATCCAGAAGCTCTGCCCGTTGCCGTTGTTGCAGACGGCGCAGCAAGCGATGGGGACCGGCCGGCGCACATATCAGAGCAGCTGCAAGCGATTCGGCAGTCGATCCTGAGCCAACCGGACACCCTCCGGCGCAATGGGCCGGTGACGGACGGTGGCAGCAGGTCGCGACATCACGATGAATGGCGCCGCCCGACCTCTGGAAGGACCTTATCTACGCCCCCGACGAACCGAAGACAGTCTCAGTCTCAAACAACCTCTCCTCGCCGGAATTCCTTCTACACCGTTGCTCGGCCGCCACCCCTGAATCTCGAGGCGGCAACCCACTTCAACGCTATCAGCCCTCTGCCTCCCCCGACGCAGACGACGAGCCAGCCCAAATTACCTCAGATCCAAGTGCCGCCGCCGTCGTCGCAGCAATCCAAAGCTCCCCGAAATGACCCCTTTCCGCCCTCGCCTCTGCCTCCTTCGATACCCCTCCCGCCCATGTCTATACCAACACATCTACAGCTAGAACTGGCAGCCCAACGACCGAGTCCTTTGTACATACATCACTCACATACTAATGATATTCCATACGAGTCATATGCCGTCAAGTGGGAAAGACTCAAAAATGTTCTCTTGCTGCCGTCATTCCTCGAACGGACCCTCTATTTCGGGGCCCTGGCCTGTCTCGATGCCTGGCTTTACAATTTCACCATTCTACCCATGAGGTTCTGCATTGCCTTGGGCGTTTTGGTCAAGTGGTGGGGCTATCTCGCGGCGAAGGAAGCGCGCTGGATGATCGGATACGTCTGGCATGGACTGGGTAGAGTATGGGCTAGAGCCCGACGACCCAGGTCCAGAGCTACCTCCTCGGCCCAGCATGAAGACCCCGATCACCTTGTCAGCCGTGACAGGAGCCAGAGCCGACCTGCGCACCGGGGCACGCCTTTGGTAACCCCAGATATTAGATCCTCAAGCGACGTTCCCACAATCAACATCGATTCGGAGACAAACGGCAATCAAATTGTCGAGCAAGAAGTAAAGATGAATGGTAACGGGCATGGAGTCAGTTATAAGATAAATGGCTCTGCCGGTCACCATCCAACGCACATGTCCGGACATCGACAGGCTCGTCATAGAAGGACGAAGTCGATCCCATCCAACTTGTCCTCATTCCACAAGGCCGATCTACTACAGGGAGCCGTAATACTGTGCAGTTCTCTGTTTCTCATGAAGTTGGACGCCAGTCGGATGTATCATTTCATTCGAGCGCAGGATGGCATCAAGCTCTATGTCATTTACAACGTCCTCGAGGTAGGGAACTTACGGACGTCAACGTGACAACCTTTGCTAACGGAATGGTAGGTCGGCGATCGCCTGCTTTCCGCCCTCGGGCAGGACATTTTCGAGTGCCTGTTCAGTTCCGAGACTCTATCAAGGAACAGCTCCGGTCGCTCCAAAGTCCTCCTGCCCATGGGCATGTTTGTTCTGGCCCTCGTTTACAACGTCATCCACTCCGTCTCTCTGTACTATCAGGTCATTACGCTGAACGTGGCTGTCAACTCATACTCCAACGCACTCTTGACCTTGATGATCTCGAACCAGTTCGTCGAGATCAAGAGCACTGTGTTCAAGCGGTTTGAGAAGGACAACCTCTTCCAGTTGACGTGTGCCGACATTGTGGAGCGGTTCCAGCTTTGGATCATGCTGCTGATCATCGGCATGCGTAACATAGTCGAAGTTGGCGGCCTGTCTGTGCCTGGCGCTGGTTCCGAGAGTGGCAGCGATATGGGTGGAGGCGCCATGCCTCTCCACAGCCCGTCCATCCTGCCCTTCAGCTTCACGGTGCTGCCATCCTGGGTGTGGTCTGGCGAGGTCCTGTCCCCCTTCTTGATTGTCATTGGCAGCGAGATGCTGGTGGACACTATCAAGCATGCCTACGTGAATAAGTTCAACAACATCAAGCCAACGTTCTACAGCCGTATCCTCGATATCCTGTGCAAGGACTACTACACAAATGTATGCCTTGCCCCCTTCCCAAACTTGGATCATAACCTAACACCATCCCAGGCCTTTGTCACGCCTTCGTTGACTCGACGACTGGGCCTTGCTGTCATCCCCCTTTCGTGTCTCTTCATCCGGGCATCGGTACAGACATATCACATGTTCCTGTCAACAAGAATTCCTACTCCACTCCCGGAGTCAACGCAGACATCGCTTTCTGTCGAATCTGCGACGCCATCCTCGCCAGTGATGGTCGCGGCTCTCGACCGCCTCGACACACTACTGCGCGACGCCCTGGGGCGCGCCGTCTACGGCTACCCGTACGCATCTCCCGGCGTCAAGGCCCGCTCGTGGTGGTCCTGGACCAGCGACGACGTCATCGCGGCAGTGACAATGATCGTCGTCTTCTTCATCGCCTTCCTCGTCCTTCTCGTCATTAAACTCCTGTTGGGTATGATCCTCCTGCGGTACTCTCGCAACCGTTACGCCAAGATGAAGCGTAAGGAGCACTTGGTGGCAACGGGTCAAGAGGAGCGCGAGTCTTACGATACCAAGGGCAAGCGTGTGGGCGGATACGGCCATATCGAGGTGACGGAGGACAGGCGCAGGTGGATTCATGCGGACGAGAAGGAGGGATTGAAGGGTGGCAAGGGACGTGTGCAAAAGGCAGAGAAGCCCCCAGAAAGTGACTACAACGGAGTCTACCGGTACGAAATGGTTGCGAAGAGGATTTGGTAGTTTTCGGCGTTTAGGAGGAATCCTTGTTCAGCATAGTTTACATGGCATTGCATAGCTGGGAAGTCACGGAGTTTATGTTGCCTATGTCTTGCTTGTTCACTAAGGCATGCAGTTTAGCAATTCGATGTCTGATTTATCATCCTATTCATGGTTTCGTATGACAGGAGTCAAATCGCCTGAGCTTATACGAAGTAACCCTGAACTCATCCAAGAGGCGCTAAGGGAGGACAGGCTTTCGGTCAACGTTGACATCAATAATGGCCGGTGAACACGCTCTTACTTCGCCTTGTCCGGGTGCCCCTCCCGTCAGCTCTCGAGCCATCATTTGCTGTGGGTTCCTGACGTATTCTGTCAGTCTAGATGTAGATGGCACCTCCGATCAACACTCCTTCCGCTAACGCGCCATCCACCACCTCCTACCATCGCACCTCCCACCAGCAGAACTTTCCATCAACGCGCCTTTCATCGTTTTCTCAGGTCGCAAATGTCCTTTCAGCCAGTCCACCTTCTTCCATTCTTCCGCCTCGTCATTGTCTTCATTACCATAACGTACTCCCACACAGGTCAACACCAGTCGACCCACGATGGCAACCCCTGACGTCGACGACCTAAATAAGAACTTGACGAATAGATACAACCAAATCTGGGATCTCTCCTTCTCTGGAAAGCGTTCTGTGGCATTCACGATGGCCGAAGATCTCGTCAGAGAGCCGGGACTATGCGCGGACCACGAGGCTGGTGTGCACCAACTTCTGACCTGCCACCCCTTCAATGATGACACGATCATGCACGCTCAGGAGGTGGTCCGTATCGATAGCGAGATCGTCCAGAAGTATCACGACACCGCTACGATACACGAGCAGGCTTTCAAGCAAACCAAGCTTCGGTTTGCGAAGGAGCATCTTCAGCTTGTTCTGGAGAAGAAGCGCAAATTCGACGAAAATATAGCCTTTTGGATGTTTGTCATTTTTTGCCCGTACTCATCCGTCACCTACTAATCTCCCATACAGCTCTGCGGAATTCGTCAAGGTCGATGCCCCGGACGCACAAATCGAGCTGGCAGAACGGGATGAGCAGGCCGAACGGCCGGCAGCTCCAGAGGACGACAACAACCTAGGCGATATGCTTCCTCTTTCTGCCGCCACCGCTGCTGACGGTGAACTCCTTCGTTCCAGTCTAAATGCACCCCCGGACACTACCCGCCGTACCGATGAGCCCTCCCAAGATCAGCCCCAGTCCACCGCGAGGGTTGATGCCGTCTCCCCCCGGGACCTGCACATCCATACACCAGACGAGGAGGAGTTGTGATCTACTGCTATGGCACACTGCAAGATACGATGAGGTGGACAGGAACAGCAGCATTGACAGAGGTAGCAGCCAGATAATTGGAAAGGAGAATAAGCTCGTCGTGGAAGGCGCAATAAAGGGCATATTTCCTTCTAGAGTAGTCAGCCTGCCGCTTCATTGAGCTTAGTTAGGAATCGTTTCTGCTCGCCTCTGACAATTCTCGCGAGGGGCCAGAGCTCATAAATTGTGCCGTGATACGATCCTTGTAGGGCGACGTGACAAGACGCGGGTTGTAATCGTACGGCGGCACTCTAGCCCTTGGTATATCCGTCATATGGCATTGTTCAACCTCGGAATCGACAAAGTCGACGCGAATCGGTCGATATGTACGGCATCCTTAATCTCTGCCGCTAGCCCTTTGACTGTTCTTCGCTGAGTGAACCAACATCTCGGCGCCGCGGGCGCTCCCGCTTTGCTGTCTCGGTAGTTGTTGACGTTGGACCAACGATCTTTGTGCCTGCATGCAACCTTATTCCGATGTTTGTCAAGAAGGTCTCAGAAAACTTGATGAATATTGAGGTTTGACGTTGATAATGCCGAATTGTTTTCTAAAAGGTTATTTCCCTGGTTGTCCGGCAAGAGCACCGCGTAACGACCGGATGAATGTCACCTAATTGGACCCTTTTTGCAACGATGGAGGCGAAGTATTCGCCGACGGTAGTGTCGATAAGATGAACCAGACGGGGAAGACGTAGACTGTCCGCATCAGTGCCTGTGATACTACGCGCTATCAATGAGCAAGTCGATAGTTTACAGGGCGAGACGCGGGGAGATCTGGCCTTTGAAGGACCTCACGCAAGGGAGGGATACCAGAGGCGATAGGAATGAGGTACATGCACTGTGTGTATGCTAGCTTCTGGAGTCTGGACTGGGTCAAATGTCACAGCTTCAGTGGGAAATGTGGGAGGAGACTTCCGGCTGGCAATACGCTCTTAATGGATAACGAGTTTGAACAGTTCTAGGGGTATTTCTCTGGTGTATCTAGGCAAATGGCTTACCTGTTGCACAATAACCATGGCCGCTAGACATCGCAACGGCAGTGGCAGGGTGGGTGGGATACGGAAGTCATGTACCACGGCGTCTTGAGCCCTGTCAAATCGTGCCACGCCTCCGGGAACCATTCTGAATTAAAAACGGGAATTAGGAGCTCCCTTGTCTTGACCACAATGTCACCAGTTGGCTTCAGGGAGACATCGGTGGCGGACGCTGCCATCAGTGAAAGCAAATTCGCCTCGGGGAGCAACAGGGAGTAGACACCGCATAATTAGAATGCCAGTATTCTGAAGCACATGCTAGCCCATGAAGTCTAGCACAAGAGGCCTATCCCGACGAAAGCGACTTCAACGCTCCCGCCTGATTATCAAAGTCGCCAGGCTCCGAGATTGCAGAAGCATCTACGGAACTACTCGGATGAATCCGACACTATTGCAAGATGTGAGGAAAGAATTTCGACGCGTATGCGCATACCGGGTTGTGGGACAAGTGACGAGATTCGTGCCACGGGTACCGGGCTCACAGCGTGCTAGCAAGTGAAGTAGACAGCCCGTGCTAGAATCCGTTCGAACTCGCGACGACGTTGAGAAAGCAAGCAATGGCAACAACAAATCATGTGCAAAGCGTAAAGATCCGGGAGTACGACAACATCAATAAGGAACGTAGGTGACACCGAACGGGACCCTATTCTTGAAATGTTTTATTGTGAAAGATCCTACAATGTCCAGAACCTTGAGGGCCTAGGAGTACATCAGTTTACAGTGTCTAAGACTCGCCATATTTGCTGCTAACTTGTTTTTCAAATCCATCTCAAGCACCCTGTAGAGCACGACTAGGCACTTGGCTTTTATGCCCCCAAGGTGCGAGACCTACAACGGGCTTCATAGGTCTCGGGCTGTAGGCAATCTCAAAGACGAGTACAAATATCATCAATCATCACATCTGAAGCTAGGTTGCTTTCTTTTTGTCACTTGAACCGGCTTTCTGGAGCTTCAGAATGTGCCCAAGACCCGCCTGGCGCTGGTAGGAGTTCTCTGTGCAAGGGCTCAGGGGGTCTTGGCACCCTTCCAGCAGCATGGTCCGTCACCATCCATGCCTACCTCACCTCGCGTTCTCTGGGCCAATTCATAGTTATGTGAGAGACATCGATCACTTTTGAAAGGATATCGCCCTCATGGCCAAGTCGCTGAAAACCGTCTTGGGTGGGCGCTTTCTACCATCTCTTCGACGCTGGGCGGTTGCAAATGCTTACCCCTGACAGCCCCAAGTCCGGGCCAGGGGGCCACCTTTGCAGTGTAGGTTCACGAAAATCTCTATGAAGGCGTTTCTGCACCACCTTTGATGATGCATAAAGCAATTATCGTTCTGTCGCTTGAAGCACTTGACTATCGGCCTGTTGTTATGCTCCTCTGTGCTGATACGCACAATATTTACATGGCGACAGTTTATGTGCAATGACAGAAACCGTCGCCATTGTCGTTAGAAGGACGACAGTGGAAAGAGTTGACAAGCAATGTTTGCTGTGGCACGGTAGAAACATGCGATCTCCCCGAGCAATGTTGACGGAGGGTGTGGCTCTGCCCAAATGTGATGCAGCTCTCTTGCTGAGAAGGCTTGCTGGAGGTCATTGAGGCACCTCTGGTTGCGTTCAAGTCGTGACTGGCTATACAAGCCGTCACTGAAGTCAATTCAGTGACTTAACAGCGTCTCGGATCCCCGCAACTAAGATGTGATTCCCATGGCAAAACTTTGTGAAGCATCAGCCACTGCTACACAATGGCAACCACCCAGTTGGTCAGCGAGACATACGCTCGAATTTTCGTCGCTCACTTGTGTCACGACTGAACTATCTTGCATCGCAAACTGCCGATAATCAAACATCCATTCATCGTGACACACGTTATCGTTTACATCATTACAGGCAAGCACCGAAGCGACAACCATACGCCTCCTGGACCGCTCCCAGAGCGGAACGCTAACGCCCTAGAGCCCAAGCCCTCCAAAATCATATACACAGTTTATTTACAAGCGCCGACAGGCCTACCGGAGGCCGACGCCATCTCCCCTCGAGACCCTCTCCCAAAAGCGCCGGAGTCGCCAGACCCTCCCGACACCCTTGCTCTCCTCCCACTTCTTGACGCCTTCCTCTCGTTGTCGCACCTCGCCCTTCCACACGCCCTCGACCCATTGTCTCAAACCATCCTTGACCCTCTCCTTCTCGATGGCCCGCCGTTTCGCGACGAGAGAAGGCGCCACCTGCACCTTGTTCAAGCCCGGGACGCACTCGGGCGGCAGCACGGCGCGTTCCACGAGAGCCTCGGCCGAGGGTCGGGAGGCGAGGCGGCGGGACAGCCGGATAGACACGAGGGAGCGGGCCAGACGGCGCGAGACGACGGAGGTGTGCGTGAGGAAGATGGAGCGGCCGATGAGCTCCGCCAGCGACGGGCGAGAGGGGGACGCCAGCAGAGGAGGCAAGATGGCACGTGTGTGCCGGAGGCGGTAGTGGTGAAGAATGGGCGACAGGGACAGGTGACGCAGGTGGTGATTGGTCTGTGTCATCAGCAGAGTTCTCGAAACGCAGAGCAAAAAAACTACGGATCAAGTGGTGCGAGCGTGCGTGTAATTACATGGGACAGAAAAAGTCTTGCGGGGGAGAGGGTAATGATTGGGACGAAACGAAGATGAAAGATCGAGGACCATCACAGAAGCGACAACGCGGGGAAGAAGCCTACCCTCGAAGTGGACAGTAGATCGTTCACATCCAGGTAACCGAGGATGTGAAGCAGGAGCTCGTTGGGGAGATCTGAGAGGAACACGCTGGCAGGGTGATGCGGCCGTCGGCACAAAGTGAGGCACGAGTTCGCGAGGGTCTGGTGCGGTGGCGGCTGCGGCTGGTCGTCACGAACTTGGAGCGGCGTCTGTATCTGGGTCCACGGTCGGGCATCAGCGGCCGCCGAGGGCGGGGAGTCGGTTGGTGGGCGAAGCGCAGGGTCAAGTTCATGATGGCCAAGTTGCGGGTGGGAGTTTGCAAGCTGGCGGGTCGGGGGGATGAGCTGTTCTGGGGCCATCTCGTCGTGCATTGCGTCCATGGCTGACTCGGTCGCCTGCAAGACAAGATGGTGACAAAAATGAAAGGTCCAGAGGGAGTGATGGAGTCCTGCGTATTTGTTGGCAAGAGACTACAGCGAAGATAGTCGCGAGCGCTGGCGCATACGGCCGGGGGGTGATGGTGGTGGTGTTGGTCACGGTGGAGGTTCAAGGTTAGCCGGTGACTTCCGCCGTGGGCTGGGGGTTCGGAGATGAGAGAAGTACGGCGCCGATCAAGGCGATGAAGAAACAATGCAGGTGGTGCTGGTTGAAACGACCAAACCCCCGTGTGAGTGGCCTGGTTGCGCGCGGTAGCAGAAGAAAAAGATGTTGGTTGCTGGCCGACCTAGACCCGGCCGAACTCCAAACGGCCCGGGGTTTTGCGGCCGTTGAGATGGCTCGATAGACGGGCGGATATCAAGTAGCCGATGTCTGCACGGCGGCAAGGTCGTTAAGTTGTTGATGGCTTCGAGAGGCAGCCAACCGAAACGCTTATGCGAAGGCGGCCAGCAAAGGAGGAATCATGAGAGGAGATGGATACCCCGCGACGACGAGGCGTATGAGTGACCGATGTCGTAGTCGCAAGCAAGGCCAGCTGGCGAAGTGATGTCCAGATATCGCCGCAGGTGCCTTCAACCCGAGCTGGATATGGGTACTCGGCGCACAATGGTCACTGACCGAGGGAGGGAGTGAGGGAGTGAGTGTGTGAGAAACGGCAAGAGAATGATCAACAACACCAGACGTGATGTTGTGGTGGTTGGAGGATGCTTCGGTGAGGCGGAGGGAGGCGCGGGCGCGGGTGCGGAAGTGAGTGAGATGCATTGATGGAAGTGAGTGCTGGTGCAGCATTGCAGCTTGCGCCTCCATCGTTCCAGGCTGCG